CCGAATGACCCTTGAGCGTCTGCAGCGGCTTCCCCGACCCAGCGTCCCATAGCTTGACCGTCTGGTCGTCCGATGCCGACGCCAGCGACTTGCCGTCCGGCGAGAAGGCTACGGCCGTGACGAATTCCGAATGACCCTTGAGTGTCTGCAAGTGCGGGCTCCAATTTTCTGATACCCCAGTCACACATGAGACCCAATCTGGTATATTATCTGAAAAGTTCTTCTTGATAATGCTGGTATTCGGACTAAATATTAGACCTGCGGAGTAGATTTGTAGCGGTGCCACCTCTAGGACTGGTCGAAAAGTGAGAATAAAGCGTACTGCATCATGTATTAGCGCTTGCAAACTTGACCGTGCTGCTTCCTTGTGATTTCTTGAACCTCTCTCGATCCCAGGTGTAACGCTGAATGAAAATATCGAACTGAGCTTGCCACGAAGTCTTTTTGGCTTCTGAAGTCGCCCCTCTCGCTTGTTCTTACAGGTCAGCTAGTTATGGCTGCTGCGGAACTAAAGTTTCTTACCAAGAATCCCGAATCCAGCATATGAACCATAACTACCGCATCAGAGGCACAGCCTAACAGTGCCAGCGCTTCAAGCCAGTGAAGAAAGTGTATTCGGAGGAACTTTTCAATACTGCAGTAGCCATCACTGTCTACATCGCTTCGTCTGCAATGGTAGACCCAGAACCGGCATGCGTACTGGACATGAGGCTGAATATGCCGATCCACTTCGCTTCTGTTCAGCTCGGATATATCGGCTCCTGGACGTCGTAGATTGCAAATGTCGCGCTGTAAGTGATCTGACATTACTCGAAGACAGTTCACGTACATCTCACGATGGACCAATTTCTCATCGATGTAAAATTGAGGACTCGAGCATCTTTTCTGGTCAAGGAGAAAGTCGCGGAAGGATGGGTGGAGCAATCTAACGGTACCTGACTTGGTCTCTGGTACATGAAGAACAGAATGCAGGTTATATAAGGTCTGATTCAAAGTCTCAACATCTTTTCCAAGTAGCCTGGCAAGATTTGACACGGATAGAGGCTCAGGAGAAATGATGATCGG